GCCGCGTGTAGTCCGTTCTGAAGCAGTTACTGGCCTCGATTTATTGTTTTCGAGCTTAGCGGAAGTCAACGACAACGAGAAGCCACCAGATCTAGAGCCGCTCGACAAAATCCCGCTCGAACACATCGATGAGGAGGGTTTGTGTGCATCCCCGACAGCGCCAGTCATGGAGCAGGACAGCTCGCCGCTTCCAACTGGAAAACCGGCTCCAAAACCCGTGACCAAGAAACCCGGCCGATACACGCAGTCAACGCTGCCATGGTTTACAAAGGGCGTTGACGACGGAGGTACCCCGCCTTCGCCAGCCAACCAACGGTCGTCGCCCGTGATTGCCGGCCCGCAGGTGTCGCCATCGGTTCCTGGTCCTTCTAAGCAGTCAGGACGCGACGCGATTTACGCCGAGTCTCTGTATAAGTACAAGACAGAGTGGCTAGACAGGTTTTCCTGACTCATTCTTTTGCAGCAAATGCTCAATCTGTACCGAGCATGCAGGTTACGCTGGAAAGTGCGGGAAGGGCGGGAGGGGCGCCTCGGACGTACAGACGCAGGCATTCAAGAGGCATGCTGCAACAACGAAGCCCAAGGAGGCGGTCAAGCACCAGGAAAAGCTTCTTGCTGAAGCTTCTTGCTGAAGCTTCTTGCGGTGACAACCTCGCTCGCGACACCGAAAAGGAACGCATCATCGAGCTGTGTGACTCCCTGCTCTTCGTAACCAAGCAAGATGCACCCATTGAGTTATGGGTGCAACTTGTTCGCTATCTCGCGGCGAAGAAGGTTCCGGGATTCTCCGCGAAGGGATACGGAACCTACTACACAACGTGAGTACCCGCTTTTAGATATTGTTCGTGATGTTGCTTTTGTTTACCTTTTGTGTAAGCACTAACATTGGCTCACATGCTCTGCAGGTACTGCTTTGGGCAACTAACACAAGCGATTGCCACGTGGTTGGACACAACGCAACTCCAGCACCTCCTTACAAGTCCTTACATCGGAGTTACATGTGACGAGAGCAAGGATAGGTGGCGGGGAAAGCACATGATCATTTTCGCGACCTTCATCCGTGAGAATCGCGTCGTCACCGAGTTCCTTGCCCTTCTGACCTTGGAGAAGTGCGACGCCGCCTCTCTCCTCTTAGTGTTTGTGTCCCACCTGCAGGCCCTCGGCATTGAGCTTGCCAAGATTGCTGGTATGAGCACCGATGGCGCGAGTGTGATGATGGGGTGCAAGAATGGTCTTGTCGCTCGACTGCGACTCCGCATACCGCACCTCGTCTCAAGCCACTGCATAGCCCACAGGTACGTTCGCTTTTGTACTGGCGCCAATCCTGATTTTTTGTATCTCAGCCTTGCTGATACCCCGTGTTGCATGTGTGTGTTGTGATGTGCCTACAGGGAGGCCCTCGCGGCAAAAGATGCAGCGGAGGCAATCCCCGAGTTCGACATGGTGGACGGGCTGATCCGTCAAGTCGCAAGTATCTCGGCCGTTCCAGCCCCTGGCACCAACGATTTTTGGAGCTGCAGGAACTCTTCACGGCGACGAACCTGGAGCTTCAAGGCATTCATCAAGTGTGCTGGCTCTCCAGGGGTGATGCCGTTCTGCGAACAGTGACGGTCTTCCCTGCGCTCATCATCATGCTGTATGAGTGGGACGAAACTCTGTACGAGCTCGCCACCAGCTACAGGTTCCATTTCTTGTTGTTCTTCCTGGCAGACGTGCTCGAGCAGCTGAACATCTTGAACAAGTCTTTCCAGCAGCGAGAGGTGAGCAACTAGTCCTTTCTGCGTGTGCTGCACTTCTCATGATGTCTAGTTCTTGTATGCGTGGCTTCTGTGTGTGTATGTCAATGCATTTCTATTGTTTGGAGCTTAAACACAACACCGATTGTTTCATAAATCTCCCCCCCCCCCCCCCGGCTCGCGTTCCTTGTGTCCCTCTGTGTTATTTCTGTCGCCCTATCATAGCTTGACATTGCAGGTGTCCATGCGTAGATCAGGAGAACCATTTCTCACCTGAAATAGTCATCATGCTACGTCGACTGTGGCGACGATTTCGGAGGCGGGTTGAGCGCACGCCTATCCCCGTTCATCATGAAGTACGGGTCTGACAGTGAGAAGCCCGAGGTGACGGTGAAGGGTGTGGACTCTGACGGTCGGCCGACTACACACAAGTTCCAACTGCATGAGAACCCAAGCGAGGACTACCCAACTATGGGAACACACGACGCCTGCGTCGATCTCTGCACCACATTTGCCGAGACGCTCGTCAGTAACCTCAGCAAGAGGTTTGAAGACTTGGACTCCCTTGTGGGAGTCTGGCTCTTTATGCCAGAAGAGTACCCGCCAGGGAGAGCGGAGCGCCACAAACAGTGCCTCGAGTGGCTCATGTCACTTGTCTCGCTGTTCAGGGCACAGGAGACTGACCACATCCTTCCAGGTACTCGCATTTTGTGCACCCTTGTTGTCCATGATTCTCTTTGTTCCAATGTTTCAACATTGCCATGCATACACGTGTATACTACCATGCCAATCCATCCAATCTAACTGGCAATCTCCCTTCTGTTTTGTGTGGCAGGGATCGACAAATGGCGGGCGATAAAAAAACTCCGTGCCTTTTGCCCCATCCTCGCAGGTGCCCAGAAGAACGAGCGAAGCTTCCACGCCGGGCTAACAGCGATGTTGAAGACAAGCGACTGGACGACTAGCTGTCAGAATGGCAGGCAGAAACGATAGAACAGGAAAAGAGGGGTTGCACTAGCAAGCAGTTGAGTACATATAGGAAACCCTAAATTGGGCTGTACTCGCTATGGAGTACCCCACTGCAGGCTAGACAAATATCACATTCTGACACACCCCCATAGTCAAAGTGGGGTATAATCAGCACAGCAAGCAGTCATAGAGCAGGTTCACAAGTACAAGCAAAACTAGAGGCAGTCACAGAGGGCAAGTGAGGAGGAGGAGGGACTGTGAGAGGAGTGGAGATAGGAGGCGACGGGTGAAGCCGCAGACACACGTGCAACATGAGCGGCGCGCACGGTGGCTACCGGTGGCAAGGGCCCCGGACTACAGGAGTACCTGGCTCCGCGGCTAAGACGAGCGGCAGGAGCAACTGACCCACGGGCGACTGGCGCAGCAGGCTCGCTGGGCTACCAGTGGCAAGGGCCCCGGACTACAGGCGCTGCGGACGACAAGACGGCTGCCTCCACTCAACCTCCCCCAACTGTCCCACACCCCTTTCACACACCCCCTGCTGTACCCCTAGCACTGCTCAGACGCCACCCACCTAGTACCACTCCGACGGCCCCCCACACATCCACCCCCCTCAGCGGCAGCTGCAGCAGTGGGAGACAGAGGAGGAGGAGGAGCAGGGGACGGCGCACACACCCCCACACTCGCCACCCCCAAACCCTAACACAGGCAGCACGGGGCGGCGCACCGGGAGCACGGGGGGGGTGGGGGGGGGGGGGTCCCCAGGGCGGCGCGACGGGAGCGCAGGGGGCACGCGCGGGTCCCCAGGGCGGCACGACGGGATGGCACGGGCCGCGCGCGGGTCCCCAGGGCGACGCGACGAGATGGCGGGGGCCGCGCGCGGGTCCCCAGGGCGACGCGACGGGATGGCGGGGGCCGCGCGCGGGTCCCCAGGGCGACGCGACGGGATCGCGGAGGGGCGCGCGCGGGTCCCCAGGGGCGACGCGACGGTCGACGAAAGGGACGCGCGGGGCAGGAAACCGCCGCGCGCCTCGGGGCGCACGGCGGGCAGAAAACCGCCGCGCGCCCCGAGCGCGCGGCGGGCAGAAAACCGCCATGCGCCCCGAGCGCGTGGCGGGAAGAAAAAACGTCGCGCGCCACGGGGCGCGCGACAGATAAGACAGCAGCGGAAGCAGGCGGGCCCACAGGCCAGGAGCGTAACCGCTCTGATAGCATGTCGGAATGGCAGGCAGAAACGATAGAACAGGAAAAGAGGGTTTGCACTAGCAGGCAGTTGAGTTTTTTTAGGAAACCCTAATTTGGGCTATACTCGCTATAGAGTACCCCACTACAGGCTAGACAAATATCACATTCTAACACTAGCTACCCCAACCTCGTGCGTCTCTGGGTAGTTGTCGTAGTGCTGCCGCTGAGCACAGTGGAATGCGAGCGCGGGTTTTCCCGCCAGAATATCATCAAATCGTGGCAGCGTGGGAGCCTCAAAGACGCTCGGCTTGAAGATCTCGTCACGATGGCGCTCCTCGACTACGAGCCCGACTACAACGAACTGGTGAAAATATGGCGCAGCTACAAGAAGCGCCTGCCATTTGGCAATGTGGTAGCACCTCCAGCAAGAGAGGGGGAGGGAAGTGGCAGGGGAAAGGAGGCACTAGAGGAGTGGGAAGAACCAAAGGTGCAGGGAGTGATGATGAGCCTGATTCGGATGCTGATGCGTGCATGACTCCTATTAGATAGGAGCAGCTGCTCTGTTCTAGGAAGCTACTGTATTCCTGAATTTAAAAACAATACTTTATATAGTTTCAGCTTTTTTACTGGTGGAACCCTGATGGATCAGTCTTTTTTATAGCACAACACTGTCATTTCAGGCTTTTTTTTTTTTTTTTAACACTGTCAATCAGTGTTCACACACAAAGGGACCCTGTAGGGTATACGACCCTAAAAGTGAATATGAGGCCCTGGTATACTCTGCGGGGGATTACGGTACCTCCAATTGGTCTAACAAAGGTGCCATCAAATTTCCCATTCACTTGCCCTCTATGTGCTTATAATAAATCAGGGGTTTACAAGGGGGGCGCTTATAATCGAGTTCCGGCCATAAGCGCCATGCTCCAGATAGAAGCGCCGGCGCCTTTAATCGGACGGCGCCTATATCCGGGGCCATACGGTATCATCGTTTTAGACGTCAGCCTGCTCACAGCCCCAATCCACACGGCTCGCATGGTGGTGATTACCGTACTACTAAGTCTACACTCATCACCTGCAAGAGCCACTTTGGGCCCAACCTATGCGCGTGCACTATGATCGGCTGGGCACGACGACCCCAGCGGCAAGCAGAGAGCGGTCCTTGCGGATGGCAGCAGGCAGATGCAGGTCAAAGAGGTCGCAGCGAATGGGCATCTCCACCTGGTGTGCATGACGTGGCGGGGGTGGGGAGCGGACACGCATTGACACTACAACAAATGCATGACACTACATCAAATGCATGACACTACATCAAATGCATGACACTACATCAAATGCATGACACCACATCAAATGCATGAAACCACGTATAAATGCAGTGTAACAGGGTTTTTGAGCACATAGTTGGTGTAGAGGGGCACTTCGCGAAAGGGTTTTTTAGCACATAGTCGGTGTAGAGGGGCACCTCATAGAAAGGGATTTTGAGCACATAGTCGCTGTAAGGGGCACCTCATAGAAAGGGTTTTTGAGCACATAGTCGCTGTAAGGGGCACCTCATAGAAAGGGTTTTTCAGCACACAGTCGCTGTAAGGGGCACCTCATAGAAAGGGTTTTTGAGCACATAGTCGCTGTAAGGGGCACCTCATAGAAAGGGTTTTTGAGCACAAAGTCGTTGTAAGGGGCACCTCATAGAAAGGGTTTTTTAGCACATAGTCGGTGTAGAGGTCGTAGATGATTGCGAGCAGTGTGGGCGCCCCCGTGAAGCCCACCTCCGTGGCTATGAAGAACTTGGTGCCTGGGGGTGGGGAGGGGGGGAGAGTCGGTTCAGAGGAATTATGGCGTGCGCGGGAAGAATATGTTGGTTGAACGGGGTGGCGGGGCAGGCGTGCCCTGAGGAGGCTGACTGTGCAGCCTATGTTACTGTCGCTGCCCAAACAGGGTAACGTCCAGCGTTGTTGCGCAGCGTCTGGATGCTAGACGTTCACCAAAACTTTTTCAAGCTACCTGGAAAAAAAAATCGGACTGCCCTAATATGCCCCAAGGGTACATCGTCCATGAGGAGTCGGATGAGGAGGAGGAGGAGGGGGAGGAGGAGGAGGAGGAGGAGGAGGAGGAGGAGGAGGAGGAGGAGGAGGAGGAGGAGGAGGAGGAGGAGGAGGAGGGCGCAGTGCTTATGGACTGGATGAGTACGAGACTTTGGACACGTCCATGGTAGCATAGTGTGCAGCTCAGAGCATTGCACGGTGTGGTCGGAAGATAAGGGGTGTCAGAGGGATGTAGGGGGCGTAGATCCATGAGGAATGGGATGGGGCGTAGATCCAGCCAATCTGAATGCCAACATTCCAGTGCGTGGAGTTGATGGGTGGGGGGGCACCTGTGAGCGTCTGGAAGCAGTGCAGGTCGAAGGTGCCTGCCTCCAGCATCTCTATGCCGCCACCGTTGGGGATGGGCGACAGCTGTTCACATACAGGGGCAATGGCAAGAGGGGGATCTCCGTTCAACAAGCTGTCGGTCTGTGCTTCGTCTGGGTGTCACATGCGTCCATGGCATCAAGGCATGAATGTAGGGAGGTATGCATCACGCAGCCACTATCAGCCATTGACAGCGACACAACTCACAGCCGCTCACAGCCGCTCACAGCCACTCGCAGTCACTCACAGCCACTCGCAGCCACTTACGACCGCTCACAGCCACTCACAGCCACTCACAGCCGCTCACAGCCTCTCACAGCCACTCACAGCCACTCACAGTCACTACAGCCGCTCACAGCCTCTCACAAGCACGGGCAGTGCACGTGACCTACATGGCGATGGCGTGCAGCCCGTGCCACGTGGACGCGAGGCGCAGCGAGTCGTTGGTGTCCAGCCGGTTCAACGACCCAAAGTCCTGCCACAGCCAGGGGGAAGGGGGAGAGAGAGGTGACGAGATGGGCGAAAGCAGGGAGGGGGAGGTGCGGGCTTGGGGGAAGGCAGAAGGGGGAAAGCGGATGGAGCGTTGGGAGATTAACAGTTTGAGTGAGTTCAAGATACTGTTGCCCTGCTGCTTCAAAATTTGGACTCCTGACGTTGGGGGCCATTGCAGGGGCGGGGGTGGTGCGGAGTTGGGGGAAAAGATTTTGGGGGAAAGGGGGGGGTGGAGAGGGGGTTGGGGGGGGAAGGGAGTTGAGGGAAGGAGAAAAAGGGAGAGAAGGGGTTGCACAGCACGGGACAGACTAGGCGAGTCGTTGGTGGTCTGCTGCAGCTGTGGTGGAGAAGGGAAGAAGGGGGGAGATTTGAGAGTGGGTGAGAGAGAGGGGAGGGGATGGAAGAGGCGTAGGTGGGAAGTGCGAAGGCGTTTGACGGGTGGGACCATGTTGGAATATACGCTCAGACCCTAAAGCGTCTAGCGTTTACACGCTTGCGTTTATACTCAAAACGCTATACGCTTACTCATACGCTATACGTAGTCAGATTTTTTTGGGGCTGCCCGAGAAAAAAAATTGTGTATACGGAAAGATGCGGAATCTCCTGGTGAGCATTTCGCCGAAGTCGCGATGCATTTCGGTGGTCTAGGGAAGCGGGAATCTGCCTTCAAAGTTATCAGTCACGTCTGGCAGTTCAGATCTACAATTTCGATCAGTACCGCATTGAAACCCTTCCCATTTACGAACTCCAACCTGTCAATTTTCCCCCCAACAAACCCCACTCACGCTACTTACCAGCCAGCCCAACTTCACTCGTCATTTCTAGGTTTCTTTCCTGCTTCCAACAGAGCTCTTTCCGATTCCTGCTCCTCCTAGAGAAGATGTTTTCTACACATTCCACCCCAATCGCCGTTCAGATTTAGGAAAATGCTACGAAAATCTTAGTTAGAATAGGGAATATCTTCCCGATGTTGAGCACGACGGTTTTTTCACCCTGCCCGGGAAATTTTTTCCCCTGCCCGAAAAAGCGTATGTCCAAACTGACCCCTGAGCGTATAGCGTATACACGATAGCGTATATACGATACGCGTATATACACTAAACGCGTATATTCCAACATAGGGGTGGGACAGGAGAGTGAGCAACGTGCGCGATGTCCAACATCCACGGCAACGTGCGCGGTGTCCCCCATCCACGGCAACGTGCGCGGTGTCCCCCATCCACGGCAACGTGCGCGGTGTCCCCCATCCACGGCAACGTGCGCGGTGTCCCCCATCCACGGCAACGTGCGCGGTGTCCCCCATCCACGGCAACGTGCGCGGTGTCCCCCATCCACGGCAACGTGCGCGGTGTCCCCCATCCACGGCAACCTCTTGCATGGAGCGGTGACGCGCCGAGCAGAGCTCTGCAGCGGGACGAGAAGGTGGAACGATAGAATGCGTCATGGACGAGCGAGACGAGTGCTGTGGACGCCGCCATCATGCTCTTAGCAGCGGCACGGAATGCGTGCATGCTGAGTGGGCGGCAGCACGTGGGAGGGACGCACCTTGTAGTATATGAGGCCGCCCGACTTGTTAATGATGAACAGGTTGAACACTGGGGGCACGCCCGCCGCCATGCTGCTCGCGTCGCTCTCGCGATGATGACGGCGATCACGTCGATGCTGCCCACTACCGCCCACCGAACGATATCTGTATGGACGTCGCAAAAACAACGAGGGTGGAGGGGTAGCGTTGAACCCTGGTACTTCGAGCAGCGTGGTGGCCATGTCAGCAACCCTCAGCGGTTTCACCATGCCCGCTAACCCCAGCTTCTGCACCTCCTCCCTCAGAGCCTCGTTGGGCACCATGTGAGTGAGAGGGGGGGAGGAGAGACGATGAGGAGAGAAAGGGGAGGAAAGGGAGAGGGGAAGGAGGCGGTGGGAATGGTCGGAGGGACTTTATGGGCAAACCATGATGCTGGCACGTTCTACGGGCAGTGTCGACGCGTGGCGCGCGTTGTTCTCAACCAATCCGGGCGCTGGTCGTAGACCGGTTCGCGCGCTGCCTAAAGTCGGGTTCCGCGCTGCTCGTTGACCACCATGCACGCTGCTATGGATCGGTGCGCATACTGCCCGTATACGGGTGCGCGCGCTGCCCGTTTGCGGGTTCACACATTGCTAGACGACGAGGGCGCGCGCTGCTCGTAAACCGGTGCGCGCGATGGTCGTCGACGGGTGCACGTGTTGCTCCCCGCCCGGTGGGCGCGCGGTGGCTGACAGATCCGACGTGCGATAGTATTAGGTTCTGCGTATTGGCCACGCCCCACAGCGTGGTATCCTTCTAAGCGCACGCCACTTTCGATTTGTTACTGCTGCTATGCATGCCTAGACACCTTGTGTGGTCCCTCTAAACTGGCATTCGATTTGCCTCGCGAAGTACCGCGGCGACGCGCGGTATCGCGCTCTTCTCAGCGTCCCTTCCTGCGACCCCGCATGTACACGTTCTGGCACGTCACTTACCTTTGCACCTCCTGCGGTTATTTCAATGGTGAAGTAGCTTCAAGGTTGATCGGGTGTTTTCTTCTCAGAAGTGTGTTCTGAGTTGGTGGTGCCTTGCAATATTGTTTTTGCAATCAATTGTGTTGTGCGACCCTACATTTTCCTACTCGAGCCAGATTGGTTTGGCACATTTCTTGCGACACTCTAATGGTCGTACTCTAACGCGCACTCTCACGAGTCTCCCATGCGTCTCCCATATGCACTCTCACGCGCTCTCTCACGCGCTCTCTCACGCGCACTCTCATGCGCTCTCTCACGCGCTTGCGCACGAGCTCTCTCACGCGCTTGCACCGCACTCTCTCCCGCACTCTCTCACCCGCCCTCTCATGCACTCTCTCACTCGCACTCTCACGCGCCCTCTCATACACTCTCTCACACGCACCCTCACACGCTCTCTCATGCTCCCTCACGCGCTCTCTTATGCGCACCCTCACGTGCTCTCTCACGCGCACTCTCACGCGCTCTCTCACGCGCACTCTCACGCGCTCTCTCATGCACACTCTAACGCGCACACTCACGCGCTCTCTCACACGCTTGCGCACGCGCTCTCGCACGCTCTCATGCGCTCTCTCACACCCGCTCTCACGCGCACTCATGCGCTCTCTCACGCGCTCTCTCACGCACACCATCACGCGCTCTCTCCCACACTCTCTCACGCGCACACTCATGCGCACACTCACGCGCGCCTTCACGCGCACTCTCACGCGCACTCTCACGCGCACCCTCACGCGCTCTCTCACGTTCTCTTTCACGCGCTCTCTCACGTTCTCTTTCACGCGCTCTCTCACGTTCTCTTTCACGGGCTCTCTCACGCGCACTCTCACACGCACTCTCACGTGCATTCTCACACGCTCCCTCACACGCTCTTTCACGCTCTCTCACGAGCACCCTCACGCGCACTCTCACGCGCTTGGTGGGAAGGAGAGGCGACGGCGGGGAGGGAAGGAGAGACGATGGCGGGGAGGAGGGAGAGGCGGCGGCGGAGAGGAGGGAGAGGCGACGGCGGTATGGGAGGGAGCGGCGACGGCGGCTGGGAGGGAGGGAGACGCGATGGCGGCGTGGGAGGGAGCGGCGACGGCGGGGTGAGTGGGAGAGGCGACGGCTGGGAGTAAGGGAGAGGATATGGGATTGGAGGAGAGGCGACGGCTGGGTGGGAGGGAGAGGCGGCGGCGGGTGTTAGGAAGGTTGAGGCAATTTGGGCCTTCTTGGCCCTCCGGTTTTAAGAAAACGGGATAATTAGATCCTAAGTAAGTCGTGGCTGCAGGATTGAGAATAGGTGGGTACGGAGGGAGAGTCACTCGATGGGGAGGAAAGGGGAAGTTTACGGTGCTCGTAGACCAAGAACCAAGAGTCAGCGTCGAATTCGAATTGACAGGTGTGATACACCTGTTCTGCCTTATTTTCAATGCCATTATCTTCAAGCCCTAGGAGAACTACCCTAGGGCAGGCTAGGTCATGGGGGTAGTTCAAGTAGACTGAATATCAGTGGGTGGATAGACGTGCATACCCCACGCAAGTTAACTGCAAGCAGAAACTTCGTCATTGCCAAACCGCCCATTCAAACGCAACCCTAAGTGCGAGTTTCGTCGCACTGGATTGCCTTCCGTACTTTCTGATATCCCTGTAATCTTTGGGTGTCCGTCTCACTAGACAGAAAAGTATTTAGGGTCTCTTTAAAAACACGGTCGAGGCTTTGAAAATAAGGTGGATTAGGGTGTAGAAAATAAAACAATATTTTCTTATTACAATATCCTACAACGTTTTGAATCGATTACATTGTCGCATTGTCAATGTCATTTTATCGTTAAGCTGTCACTTTGACTATATGGTGTTTGTGAAGCAGGATTGTAGCCGTACAACCACTCGAAGCTTGTTACTCATAGACAATCCAAGATCAGTTGCAATGATTTTGTTTGTAACCTGGTCAGATTCGCAAAAGGAGAGACGGAACATAAACTCGCATTTTCGTGGCAGTACAAAAATAGAGTTAGTAACGAGCAAAATATTGCTACGTGGTTCAGTGCATTCCGAAAATCCTCCACACGATTTTGCACTACACGAAGCAGAAACAAGCAGACTGCACTCGTAACACTTGGTATTCAGAGCCTACGATCTCTTCTCAGACTGCACCCACACCTTCGTGTTAAACTCATACACTATAGTCTGTGTAGGCTGTAGTGGGGTAGCTAATATGGGGTACAACACTTTAGGGTTTGGTACTTGTACTCCTCATACTGCTCAATGCAAACATTCTCGTTCTATTCTTCACATGGTATAGAGCAGGTTCCCTCGTGGGAACTGTTCCTAGGGCCCACCGACTTTTTTTTCCTGCCCGGAGCGCACTCCGCCCCTGCCCGAGTCGCGCTCCCCTCTCACTGCCCCTTGCGGCCCCGTCGTGTCGCCCTCGCGGCCCCTTCTCGCCGCCCTCACGGCCCCGGCGCCGCCTCTGCTGGCCCCGTCGCCCTACCCTCGCGACCCCGCGGCCCCACCCTCGCGGCCCCGGCGACGCCCCTCACGGCTCCGTCGCAGCCGCCCGCAACCCCACCGCCGCCCTTCGCGGCCCCGTCGCCCTACGCGCCGCCCGCGACCCCGTCGCCGCAACCGCCCGCGACCCCGTCGCCGCAGCCGCCTGCGACTCCGTCACCGCAGCCGCCAGCGACCCCGTCGTCGCAGCCGCCCACGACCCCGTCGTCGCCGCCGCCCGCGACCCTGTCGCCCCACCCGTGCGACCCCGGCGCCGCCCTCCGCGGCCACCCTTCGTGGCCCCGCCGCCTCCTGTCAGCGGCCATGCCGCCCTTCACGGCTCCGCCGCCACCACCGAGCAGCCGAGCCGCCGAGACGCCGGCGCCGCCGAGCCGCCGTGGCCGCCGAGCTGCAGGCGCCGCCGAGCGGCCGTTGCCGCCGAGCAGCTGCTGCCGCCGAGCTGCCGAGTCGCCGCTGCCGCCGAGCTGCCGAGCCGCCGAGCCGCCGTTACTGCCGTCGCGGCCCTGTTCCTGCCGGCGCGCCTCGGCCCTTCTCGCCTGCCCGGTAAGAGCAGCGCCTCCACCACTGCACTGCCCTTGCCTGCTGCTCGCGCTGCTAGTCTACTGCTGTCATGGCTACCCCTAGTGTCCTCACTTTTGACGCTGAGGGTCGGGCCATTGACTTTGACGTCTGGGTAGATGACCTGCAGCTTTTCCTGCTGAGCGATAGGGCAGACGGTCTCTCCCTCTTTGACCTCACTTCTGGTGCCTCTCTTGCTCTTGCTGCTGATGCTGACGCCACTGTTCGCTCACAGTGGGCCACGCGCGATGCTGCTGCCCGCCTTGCTGTGCGCCGCCACTTGCCGACCGCTGAGCGTGCGCACTTTAGTCAGTACAAGAGTGCTAAGACCTTGTACGACGCTGTAGTTGCACGCTACTCTTCCCCTGCCACTGCTGCGCTTAGCCGCCTCATCCTACCGTACCTCTTCCCTGACCTCGCCGCTTTTCCCACTGTCGCTGACCTCATTACGCACCTTCGCACTAGTGACACTCGCTACCGCGCTGCGCTTCCTGCTGAGTTCTGCGCCAAGAACCCCCCCCCCATGTACATCACCCTCTACTACATAGTCACCCGGCTCCCTGACACCCTTCGCCCGGTTAGGGACCACTTCCTCTCTGTTTGCCCCACCACCCTCACCGTTGACCTCCTCGAGGAGCGCCTTCTAGCGGCAGAGAAGAGCATAGTCGCTGTAGGAGCCTCTCGTGGTGACCCTCGTACCCCTGTCTTTGAGGGGTGCTCCCCCTCTCCCCTCCTGCCCTCTGTTGCCTCTGCTGCTGCGGCCGACCTCGTTGGTCTTGAGTCGGTCGCTGCGGCGTCTGCCCCTAGCGGGAGACGCCGCCCTGGCAAGGGCAAGGGGGGCAAGGGTGCTGGAGGAGCTGGCGGGGGCGGTGGAGGCGGAGGTGGAGGTGGTGGAGGGGGTGGGGGTGGCGGTGGGGGTGGTGGCGGGGGTGGGGGCGTCAGTGGCGGCAGTGGAGGCGGAGGCGGAGGCGGCGGTGGCGGTGGGAGCGGAGGTGGCGGAGGTGGCGGTAGTGGAGGAGGTAGCGGCGGAGGAGGTGGAGCTGGTCGGGGTGGCGCTGCACAGAGGGTTGGCTCCGGTGGTGGTCAGCGCCAGCAGCAGCAGCAGCGCGCTCGTGAGATCCCCCCCCCTCAGCAGCTTCGTGAGTGGTACGCTGCACGTCAGCGGGGTGGGGGCACTGGTCCGTGCACCTACGTCCTCCGCCCCGGCGACCGCGCGGGTGAGCAGTGTGGGGGTGCGCACTCCACCCAGCGTTGCTTTGGCCGCCTGACGGACGCTTGGCGTCACCAGTTACCTGAGGCCACTGAGATCCCTCGCTGGGGTGAGCTGTCTAGGGCGGGGGTTCCTATCTTTGATCTTGATTATGATGCTATTCTTGCTGCCATGTATGCTGTGACTATTAGTGATGAGGGTGACTGTTACTTGTGTTTTCCGCCTGACCCAGGCATAGAGGCTGCTGCGCTAGGTGCTTGTGAGGCTGCTGCTCTAGGTGCCAGTGCGTCTGCCGCCCCAGGTGCCGGTGAGTCTGCGCTCTCAGGTACTGCGTCGTCTCCGGACACCCACACCTTCACCCTTGACTCGGGTGCTTCCCGCTCCTTCTTTCGAGACTGCACCACTCTCACGCCACTCAGTCAAGGGAGAGCTTGAAGCGCAAGGCGGTGAAGGCCGTCATGGACGAGGAGATCCGGAGCCTCATTACCAGCGTCACGTGGGAGCTGTTTGAACATTTTTGCAGTGCCAAACGTCACGAAGAACTGCTGGGTATTGATGACCAAGTATCACGTCGGCGACACGGTCGCTCGTAAGGAGGCGCGCTTAGTCATGAAGGGCTTCACGCATGTGTATGGTTCCAACTACGATGAGACATACATGCCTGTCAGGAGCTGCGTCACGCTGAGGATTTTCCTTGGCATGCACTTGCTGTAGCTCGACATGAAGAACACGTTCCTGCAGAGCAAGCCGAACCATGTGCTCTACGTGTACCTGCCCGACTATTACTACGGCGGGACTTGCCGGGTATGCAAGCTGCTGAAAAGCTGTCGCTGCTGTTGTTGTACTCGGCCTTCAACGCGGTGCTGACCAGCTCTAACTGGAAGAAGTGCCAGGTCGATGAGCCGCTGTGCTTCAAGGTTGACGACGATGGAGTGACGTGCTGGATGCTTGTCTACGTCGACGACCTGCTTCCCGCCAGCAGTAGCCTCGCAATGCTGAAGGAGCTGCTGGAGACCGCCTTTGAGTTGTGCTAGATCAGCCCGGTCGTGAAGTACCTTTGACTAGAGATCGTGCGCGACCGACTAGCAAGTAAGCTGCGGCTGCCACAGCAGTTGCACGTCGACAAGCAGTCTCCCTGGCAGACCCCTCTGGGGGTCCTGTCCTTGCCCACTACTCCACTGTACTCCCGTGTCCAGCGGTCCCGTCTGGCTCCCTGTCGGGTCTTTACCTCCCCTCGTTCTCTACGAACTTGGTGGCGGGTGCTGACCTACAGGATGGGGGAGTTGACCAGTTCACCCCTGCTCGTCAGCGGGTGACTCACTGCACGTGTGCAGACACGGGCCGACACTTGGCCACGTTTACCCGTCGGCCGGGGTCGAGCCTGTACACACTGACTACTAAGTCTCCTCAGGTAGCCGCGTCGGGTCAGGTGTTTGCTGCGGCGTCCAGGTCTGGTCCTGAGTCTGCCCCCTGCTCGTGTCGTCTCTTGTCCCGCCGGACTCTCCTCTGGCACCACCGCCTTGGTCACCCCTCCCTGCCTCGTCTTCGAGGCATGGCTTCCCGTCTTCTTGTCTCTGGCCTCCCCCGGTCCCTCCCTCCCCTTCCTCCGGGGCCTGCCCCCACCTGCGTTCCCTGCGTCGAGGGGCGGCAGCGCGCTGCCCCTCACTCCTCCGAGTTTCCTCCGACAGAGGCTCCGCTGCAGACGCTTCACATGGACGTGTGGGGCCCAGCCCGCGTCCGTGGACAGGGTCACGAGCGTTACTTCCTGCTGGTGGTTGACGACTACTCGCGCTACACCACAGTCTTCCCCTTGCGCAGCAAGGGTGACGTCACTGAGGTGTTGATCGCCTGGATCCGCGCAGCTCGTCTCCAGCTCCGGGAGAGTTTCGGCTCGGACTTTCCTGTTCTGCGTCTGCACTCCGACCGAGGCGGAGAGTTCTCCTCTGACCTTCTGCGGGCCTTCTGTCGTGCACGAGGCATCCGCCAGACCTTCACGCTTCCGGACTCTCCACAGCAAAATGGGATTGCTGAGCGCCGCATTGGCATGATCATGGACGTCGCTCGTACGTCCATGGTCCATGCGGCTGCCCCCCATTTTCTGTGGCCGTTTGCGGTTCGGTACGCGGCGCATCAGATCAACCTTCACCCCCGGGTCTCCAGGCCGGAGACCTCCCCTGCTTTATGTGGACGGGGAAGGTTGGCGATGCGTCTGCGTTCCGTGTCTGGGGATCTCGGGCGTTTGTCCGCGACTTGTCTGCGGACAAGCTGTCCCCTCGTGCTGTTCCATGCGTCTTCCTTGGCTTCCCTCCCGACGTGCCAGGCTGGCAGTTCTACCACCCCACCTCGCGCCGTGTTCTGTCCTCCCAGGACGTCACCTTTGACGAGTCGGTTCCCTACTACCGTCTCTTCCCCTACCGCACTGCGTCCCTCCCTCCCCCGCCGCTCTTCCTTACGCCAGGTCCCCCTCCGGTAGACCCCCTCCCCCCTCAGGGTCCTGCTCCCTCAGGTGTGAACCAGGTAGATGCAGTCGAGCCTGTCGAGGTAGCTGTTGACTCTCGTCCTGCTGGGGGTGCGGAGCCTGGGGGTGCTGAGTCTGGGGGTGCTGCGCCTGGGGGTGCTGAGCTTGAGGGTACTGCGCCTGGGGGTGTTGAGCTTGAGGGTGCTGCGCCTGGGGGTGCTGAGCCTGGGGGTGCTACGTCTGGGGGTGCTGAGCCTGGGGGTGCTGCGCCTGGGGGTGCTGAGCCTGGGGGTGCTACGCCTGGGGGTGCTGAGCCTGGGGGTGCTGTGTCTCGGCGTACGGAGCCTGAGGGTGCTGGGCCTGCTCGTGAGGCGTCTGGCAGTGCTGGGCCTGGCGGTGCTTCGGGTGCTTCGTCCCGGCGGGAGCTACTCTCTCCACAGGAGCTGCGTGAGTGGTTCGCCTGGCGCTGGCGGCGTGCTGCTGGAGCTGGTGGTGCTGCGGATGCTGGAGGTTCTGCTGCTGCTGGGAGTGCTGGTGCAGAGGGTCCCAGAGGTGCTCGTACAGGGTGTACTGGAGCTGCTGGGCCTACGGGTGCTCCTCCTGCTGGAGCTGGTGGTGCTACTGGTGCTACTGGCGTTGGTGCTGCTGGTGCTCCTGGAGCTGGAGCTGCTGCGTCTTTGGGTGGTTTGACTGGAGCTGGAGCTACTGGGGGTGTTGGCGCTGGGGGTGCTCCTGGCGCTGGTGCTGCTGAGGGTGCTGGAGTTGGAGCTGCTGGAGCTGGGGGTCCTCCTGGTGCTAGTGCTCCCGTTGGGAGTGCTGGTGCTGTTCCTTCTGGCCCTGGTGGCGCTGCGCGGCCACGACCGTACTTTGTTCCGCTCCTTGAGCAGGTTCTTGGTCTTCCGTCCTCTCTTGGTCCTGCTCCTCCCTTAGCGTGTCCGCCTCCTGTCCAGTCTGAGTCACAGTTACAGCCAGCCTCCCCGCTTCCTTCTCCTTCTCCTTCTCTCTTGCTGAGCGTCGTGAGCCTGCGTCTCGCCCTGCGTCGCCTGTCCGTGCTGCTCGCGCTAGTGGTCGTGGTTCGCGTCAGCGTCCTCCCCCTGTCCCCGGCACGCACCGGATGTCTCTGCGTCCTTCCACTGCTCCGCTGCGTGCCCCTTTGCCCTCTCCTCCCGCGTCCTCTCTTCCTGAGCTTCCTGACCCTGAGTCGGACTCCCTTCGTGCTGCGCGTCCTACTGTCACACGTCTCCTTGCTACTGTCGTCACTGACCCTTCCTTTGAGTCTACTGCTGCGTCTGCCCTCGTTGCTGAGCTTGTCGACTTCGCTGCTCGCTGTCGCCTAGACTACGCTGCCAGTCTCGTCGCTGAGTCTGAGTCTGTCTGTCCTCCGTCCGTCGGGGGTGAGTGTGCTCTTGGCACGGACGTCCTTGAGGACAGGCAGGAGGAGTTCCAGTGCTTGGCTGCTGCTTCACCTCATCTCGTGTCCATGCTGCTTGCCCCTGAGGGAGACCCGGATGCACTTGACATCCCGACTCCGCGCTCTTACGCGGAGGCGATAGAGGGTCCCTACTCCTCTCAATGGCAGACAGCCATGGACGCAGAGATGGCTTCCTAGAAGTCCACAGGCACCTACGTTGACGAGGTTCCCCCGCCTGGGGCGAACATTGTCAGTGGCATGTGGATTTTCAGGGTGAAGCGGCCGCCGGGTTCTCCGCCTGTCTTCAAGGCGCGTTACGTGGCTCGTGGCTTCAGTCAGCGGCAGGGAGTTGACTACTTTCAGACCTTCTCTCCCACCCCGAAGATGACCACTCTTCGGGTACTGCTGCACATAGCCGCTCACCGAGACTACGAGCTGCACTCTCTTGACTTCAGCACTGCTTTCTTGCAGGGCAGCCTGCACGAGGAGATCTGGCTGCGCCGCCCACCTGGCTTCACTGGGACGTTTCCTCCTGGCACCCAGTGGAGCCTCCGGCGGCCAGTCTACGGTCTCCGCCAGGCGCCTCGTGAGTGGCACGACACACTGAGGACGACACTTGCGGCTCTTGGGTTTGCTCCTTCTACTGCCGACCCGTCGCTGTTTCTGCGCACCGACTCTTCTTTGCCGCCGTTCTACATCCTCGTGTACGTCGACGACTTGGTCTTTGCTACAGCTGACACTGCTGGACTTGCCTACGTGAAGTCCGAGCTGCAGAAGAGACACACGTGCACAGACCTGGGTGAACTGCGCAGCTACCTTGGCTTGCAGATCACCCGGGACAGAGCACAGCGCACCATTACCCTGACTCAGTCACACATGGTGTAGCAGGTCCTTCAGCGCTTCGGCTTCACGTACTCCTCGCCTCAGGCCACTCCTCTGCCTACACGCCACTCGCTCTCAGCTCTGCCTTCGGATGAGTCCGTAGAGTCGAGTGGCCCGTACCTAGAGCTTGTTGGCTGCCTCATGTACCTGATGACCTGCACTCGACCTGACCTTGCATACCCTCTTAGCATTCTGGCACGCTATGTTGCTCCTGGGAGACACAGACCAGAGCACATGGCTGCAGCGAAGAGGGTGTTGCGCTACTTGTGCAGTACGTCGGGCATAAGGCTTGTGCTTGGAGGGCAGAGTCCAGTGGTCCTCACTGGTCACGCAGACGCTTCTTGGGCCGACGACCAGGCTACGCAGCGGTCGTCACAGGGTTACACCTTCAGCCTTGGTTCCGGCTCTGTTTCGTGGCGGTCTACCCGCTCGTCTTCTGTTCTCGGCTCCAGTTGTGAGGCTGAGATCTACGCAGGGGCCATGGCTGCACAGGAGCTACGCTGGCTCACCTACCTGCTGACTGACCTGGGAGAGCCGCCTCGTTCTCCTCCAGTGCTGTACGTAGACAACAAGGCCATGCTGGCCTTGTGTCGGGAGCACAGACTGGAGCACAGAACGAAGCACATCGCTCTTCGCTACTTCCTTGCTCGTGAGCTGCAGCAGCGTGGTCAGCTGTGCCTTGCT